CATGGATAGGTTCCCAAATACATTTGCACATTTTTTTAAATAGTAACCCCTGTCCATATGTTTATTATTGGTGTGTGTGTGTGTGTGTGTGTGTGTGTGTGTGTGTGTGTGTGTGTGTGTGTGTTTGAGTGTGTGTGCGCGTGCATGCGTGCGCACGCGTTAGTTTCAAAGACCCCCATAGAGCTCAGTTTATAACTCGAACCCTGCCTACGGTGCGTTCGTTAATATTAACTGTGCGGTCCGGAGTCACTGTGGCACAGACTGGACCGCTGGTGAACAGAACGGGGTGTTCACAGCAGAGCTCCCTGTCGGAGCGGCAGAGCGTGATGTGCACTGAAAAGTTTTTCTGTCGCAATATTATTGAAGGAATCGTTGAGCTAGCTAACTAGCATACATTGTCACTATCTGCTAACGTTAGCTTTAGCCTTCGTTTTCTAATAGTTTTCTAAGTATAGATCTTGTACTTGAGTAAAAGTAGAAGTACTCAGATCTTGTACTTGATTAAAAGTATAAGTACTCAGATCTTGTACTTGAGTAAAAGTATAAGTACTCAGGTCTTGTTCTTGAGTAAAAGTAGAAGTACCAGAGTGTAGGAACAATCCTACAATCAAAATGTTCCTTAAATAAAAGTACAAAAGTATTATCATCAAAATATAGTTAAAGTAGCGACAGTAAAAGTAGAAGTACTCAGATATTGTACTTGAGTAAAAGTAGAAGTACTCAGGTCTTGTACTTGAGTAAAAGTAGAAGTAGGCCTACTCAGATCTTGTACTTGAGTAAAAGTAGAAGTACCAGAGTGTAGGAATACTCTGTTACAGTAAAAGTACTGAATTCAAAATGTTCCTCAAGTGAAAGTAGAAAAGTATTATCATTAAAATATAGTTAAAGTAGCGACAGTAAAAGTAGTCATTGTGCAGATTGGTCCATTTCAGAATAATATATATGATATGTTTTATAATGATTGATCATGAAAGTGTTCTCAAAGCTGGTAAAGGTGCAGCTAGTTTGAATGACTTTGTATACTGCAGGGTAGCTTGTGGATTTACTCCAGGTGGAACTAAAGTCTGATTTAACACTTGATCATATTTCACATCATTCATCCAGATCTGTGAAGTAACTAAAGGTATTAAATACATGTAGTGGAGTCAAAGTACACAATTTACCTCTGAACTGTAGAGGAGAAGAAGAACAAAGTAGCAAAACATTGAAATACTTAAATAAAGTACAAGTATCTCAAAATTGTACCCAAGTATAGTACTTGAGTTTATGAACTTAGTTACTTTACACCACTGGCTATAAAGATAGAAAGACTAAGCCTTGCACAGAGGCATGAAAATACATTTTCAAAATGCTCAACAGTGCTGCCAAAATTATAAACTGACTGCTACACAATTAAAATAAATGCTTTTATATATTTCTATTAGATGTGACTCTTTGGCGTTTCTGTTATTATTAACACTGCTGCTTTAGTTGTTCTGACTGCTAAAATCCTCTGTTATTCCTCATTTTAAAGCCGATATTCCGTGGGGTCGGGGGGCTCGGGCCTCGGATCCTTGTCACCTTTTTCATACCGGATGAGTTTGTATCCCTGCATATAAGACATAGACATACAGATGGCTTATTTACAATTTACATACAGGTGTTTTTTTACATACAGATGGCTTAATTACAATTTTCATTTTAGATTTCGTTCTAATACATCCTAACCGGACATTTAAGACATACCAAGTCTACAGATATACAGTTAGTAACAGAGTCTAAAATGCGAGTATATACATAGATGGGGGGGGGAAGCTGTCCATTGTACGACAGGTTGAGATTTGTACCATTACCGGGGCCAGTTTTGCAATGCTCTCCCCCTAAGGTGCTCTTTAAGAGAGGTTTTGAAGGTAAGTATAGTTTTACTTTCCTTTACAGTTGTGGGAAGAGCATTCCACCTTGATGTGGCATAATTGCGAAACGTGTATTCCCCCTTTTTTGTGCCAAATCTGGGTTTTACATGATTTGTGGAGCTCCCTCTGGTGTTATGATCATTGTATTCCTTGACCTTTGGGAAGAATTTTAACATGTACATGGGTACCATAGAGGTGTAGTGGATCTTGTAGACCAGGCCCATTGCAAGTAGCTGTACTCTGTCGTCTACTCTAAGCCATCCTAGGTTGTCAAAGTGGGCAGAGGTGAGGTGGGTTCTAGATGAAAGGTCAAGCAGTAGTCTGACCAGTTTATTTTTGCGATGTTTGAAGTTTTATTTTTAGCGCCTTGGAGGTGCTATGGTACCATGACGTGCAAGCATAGTCATAGTACCCTTGAATGAGTGCTCCTGCCAGAGTTTTCAGGGTGTTTTTGTTTACCAGAGAGGAGATCCGGTATAGGAATCTAGTTCTTTGATTGACTTTTTTTATTACATTGGATGCCATTTTGTCACAGGAGAGGTTTGCCTCAAGAATAGATCCTAGGTATGTAATTTCCTTCTTACTTGTGACAATAATGTCACCCACTGCAACTGAGAAGTCGTCGGATTTGCTGAGATTATGTTTCGAACCGAAGAGAATGGACTCTGTTTTACCCAGGTGTAATGACAATTTATTATCGGCGAGCCAGGTGCAGATTCTGCCGAGCTCGGAGCTGAGGGTTTTTTCAACCTGCAATCTGCTCCTGTCAGAGACCAGCAGGGCTGAGTCGTCCGCGAACAGGAACAAGTTGCAGTCACATGCTGATGACATGTCATTTGCATAAATTAGGAACAGTAACGGGCCTAATATGCTTCCTTGTGGAACACCACAGCTCACTGGGAGGGGGGGGGACAGAGTACCGTTTACCTCCACCATCTGTTCTCTCCCCTCCAGGTAGGATTGCATCCAGCTCACCGATAGTTTATCAAAACCAATTGCTTTTAGCTTGTCAATCAGAATGGGGTGATTGACAGTGTCGAAAGCCTTTTGTAGGTCCAGCATCACCATGCCGCAGTATTTACCCTCGTCCACCTCTTGTTTGATGTGGTCGTTCAAATAAAGAAGGCATGTGTCAGTGGAGTGGGATGTTCTAAAGCCAGATTGAAATTCATAGATTAGTTTCTTTTCCGCGAGGTACTTTTCGACCTGTTCATATACTATTTTTTCCATGACTTTCGAGATGGAGGTAAGTATAGAAACAGTGCGGTAGTTGCCTGGGTCCAATTTGCTGCCCTTTTTGTGCAGGGGGGTTACTCTTGCAATTTTGAAGTCTTTGGGTACTTTTCCCTGTTTTATGGAGAGGTTAATTATATGAGCTATGACTGGTGAGATGGCGGTTGCTGTCTCTCTGAGGAATTTGGAGGGGATATTGTCGTGGCCAGTGGCCTTGTTAGGTTTGAGGGCGCTCAGTTTAATGAGTACCTCTGCTGTTGTTACCCTTGCTAGACTGAAATCATCTTTGCGTACCCCTAGGTTTTTGTAGTAGGTCATGATGTGATCTACTCCAAAAAGCCCTGAGTGGGAGGGTAATTTATTTACAAGAGTTGTGGCTATGTTTGTGAAAAAAATGTTCAAGTACTTGGCCACATCCAGTTTGTCTGTGATGAGCCTGTTATCTGTCTTTATGTTTAAGTTTGAAAATCTCGTTTTGAGTTTTTTACTGCAGCCAAGCTGGTTATTGAGTAATTTCCAAAGTTCACGGGGTTTATTTTTGTTTTCCTCAGTTTTGACATTGATGAAATTCTTTTTGGCAGTTTTGATCATGGAGCTTACGTCATTTCTTAGTCTGTTTCTTTCAATTTTTAGTTCAGTCACGTGGGCCTGGAGTTCACTGCTCGTGCTTTTGGAAAGCATTGACTGACTTTTATGAAACTCAGAGCATTTTTTGTCTCTGGTTTTCATGGCGGTCAGTATGCCGGAGTGCATCCACGGCTCAGCGCGATTTTTTACCCTGGTTGTTCTTAGGGGGGCCAAATCATTGAGTATTGCAGAGAATTTGTTTTTGAAACCAAGCCATGTTTCTTCAACTTGTGTACCACTGAGCTCATCTGACCAGTCCAGGCTCTTCAGTTCTAGGTTAAAGGCCTCGCTCGAGTAGTTTTTGAGGTCTCTAGATATGACTGTTTTGTGACAGCCGGCCTTTTGTTTTAGCTTTTTGCGGGTACAGAATATCATATAATGATCACTTAAACCGCATGCTATAACCCCTTTAGTTTAATTTACAGGAAAGGAGTGAGCAGAGGGTAGAGTTGTCCATTCTTGTTCTGTTTTCTGTGACTATCTTCCTCCCCATGTTGAACACCCTCTCAGACTTTCAGTTGCGCGCGCTACTAAAGAGCATAGCTAAAGAGACGCGTTACCATGGAAACCAAACAATGGTGTAGCTGTATTGAAGTCCGAGTGGAAACCATGGATGTATAATAAGAACGTGGAAACAGTAACATTTTATGAAGGTAGATATGGTGCAAAATGCGAGAGCGTGTAAAACCTGATGTGAGTACTTGCAGAAAAAAAATCTGAGCTTGTGTGCACACATTTACACTTGTATAAAATATCCATGTATCTGTGAACCAAATTTGAAGTCACAGAATAAAAAAAAAAGTTTTGTAGCTTGTAGAAAAAAAATGAACTTAGTGATGAAATGTTCACTTGCAGAAAAATATATATTTTACAAGCTACAAAACTTTTTTTTTTCTTCTGTGACTTCAAATGTGGTTCACAGATACGTGGATATTTTATACAAGTGTAAATGTATGCACACAAGCTCAGATTTCTTTTCTGCAAGTGCTCACATCAGGTTTTACACGCTCTCGCATTTTGCACCATATCTACCAACCATTTTGAGCGTTATGTTAGAATGAAACAGACAACTCACAAATCAGATTTAGTCAGAAACCGGGAGAAATGCGGGATAAATATGACCCCGGGAGGAAACCGAGAGAGGGCAATGAAATCGGGAGTCTCCCGCGAAAATCGGGAGGGTTGGCAAGTATGTCACATACTCACGCACTTTTTGCCCCCCCCACACTTCTGAAATGAATCCGGCGCCGCTGCTAACGGCTCCAGCTGGTAGATGCACCGACCCTGAGGAAACATGCTCCGTCTGAGAGACGTCGTACAGCGGTCTGTTCCCCCTCGGAACTCCCCGCTTTATTCCGGTTTATGGCAGCGGGCTGGATATAAAACGCAGCCCGGGCCTCAGGTTACCAAGCAGCCCGGGCTAAAGCGCTTCAGCACGGCCGAAGCAACCGTGCAGACCGGAGCTGGACACCCATGCCGGATGCGAGAGAAGAGCCTGACCATGGCGAGCCTGAGCCCGCAGGTGAAGGCGGTGGAGTACGCTGTGAGAGGGCCCATCGTTATCAGGGCGGGGGACATCGAGAAGAGGCTGCAGCAGGTCGGACATATGTTACATTACCGTATCTGTTTGTGAGGACGGAATAATGGGAGTCTGTCAAAAATATATTTTATTCAACGCTTCATTATTAAGCTTTAAGTTAAACACACACAGGGTAATACGCAGGTTAAACGGCGCGCGGAGCAGAGCAGCACAGGTTGCATCATCCCGGATCCTGGTCCTTTCTGGAGGCAGGCCGTCCGGCTGGAAGATGCTCTGACCGGCTACAGGTCCACAGCCCACACTGCAGCGATGCAGAGGCGGAAGAAGTATTCAGATCATGTACTTGAGTAAAAGTAGAACTACAGGAGTGTAGGAATACCCTGTTACAAGTAAAAGTGCTGCATTCAAAATGTTACTCAAGTAAAAGTACAAAAGTACAATCAGCATCAAAATATACTTAACGTACCAAAAGTAAAAGTACTCATTATGCGATGATGGTCTATTTCAGAGTAATATATTATATGTTTTGAATGTAAGTTATTGATGTATCGATGTGCTTATCACAGTTGGTGGGACTCATTTTAATTACTTAATTTACTTCTGGGTTCCACGTCAATTTTATTTGACATGTGCAGACTACACATTTAAGCAATAGTTCCTCTTGTAAGACCGTACAGTGAACATTGAGAGTGCATTTCAAACAAAAGTCAGAAACGGTTCAATGCCCCGTTTGTTGGTATCCTCAACGCTCGTTGAAGAGGGCCGCTGTACTCCTTAACTGAAGTCTTATTTAAGTTTTGATCATATTGTTTTGAGTCCTGGATCCTGAGTCCTGCATCCTGAGTCCTGGATCCTGAGTCCTGCATCCTGAGTCCTGCATCCTGAGTCCTGCATCCTGAGTCGCAGTCCTGAGTCGTGGCTGAACCTGTCACTGCGGTCCTGCCTGACTCTCATCATACTACTTCCCTGATGGCTCCCACAGGATTGTTGACATCCTTGTGGATTCATCTTCTTATTATAGACACATGCATTTCCAAACATTTGGTCTACCTATGCTGTAAATGTATTATCTCTTCGATTTACACACGGCATCTATTGCACATCTGTCCGTCCTGGGAGAGGGATCCCTCCTCTGTTGCTCTCCCTGAGGTTTCTCCCATTTCTCCCCTTTAACTGTGGGGTTTCTTTGGAAGTTATTCCTTGTCCGATGTGAGGGTCCATATCGGGTGTCATATTCATATTCTGTACAAACTGTAAAGTCCACTGAGACCAATGTAACATTTGTGATATTGGGCTATATAAATCAACTTTGATTGATTAATTTATATTGTTTATCATTAATCTATGTCTGCAAAATAACTTCAGACACTACTTAAATGTAGTGGAGTAAAAGTACACGATTATCCCCTGAATTGTAGTAGAAGTACAAAGTAGCATAAAAAGGAAATACATCAAATCAAATCAAATCAAGTTTTATTTATATAGCACATTTTTAAATGATTTTTGGTCGAGCCAAAGTGCACATGTCCCTTATAATTGTACTTAAGTACAGTACTTGAGTAAATCTACTTAGTTACTTTACACCACTGCAGTGATGGCAGGGGCAGTGTTTGACTTTGTATCAAAAGCATGCTGATGGATCTTTGTGATTTTTCTTCTTGTCTCTCCAGGGAGGGAACGAGTCTTTCACTGAGGTCATCAAAGCCAACATCGGGGATGCTCATGCCATGGGTCAGCAGCCAATCACTTTCCTCCGTCAGGTGAGGGGACAGACATGCTGTGTGTCCTCATGCTCACACTGTGTCATTCACTGTATTAGTTCTTATTGTGAGCACAAGCAGAAGGGTTGTTAGTGCAGCCGGAGTTGAAATGTGTCCTCAGGGCAGGGCGTAGGTTTGATTGTGATATCTGTTGGGTCATTAGTCGTGGGGCCCACGAGGCAGCTGAGGCATCAATGACAGACTTTATGACCGTGCCTCTGATCCGGAGTCTCAGAAATGGTAAAACATAAAATAGCGTAAGCATTTGTTTTTGACTTCCCATTACTTTAAATGATTGTTACTCATGACTGTTGTTCAAAAATACTCTAATAAAAGTTGAAGTTCTGACTAAACTTCTTTACTCAAGTAAATAAGTATGGACTTTGAAATGTACTTAAGTAAAAAGTAGCCATTTTATAGAACAGCTCCCTCATATATGGCCATGGGTGATAAGAATGTCTGTTCTCAGTAAAGTCGCAATCAATCTAAATACAAATCATCACACCATCAAACACACATTAAAACGAAAGAAAAGAGCCTGTTTTGAAAATGTGTGAAGTAGAAAGTACAGGTATTTGTGTTTAAAATGTAAGAAGTAAAATTTGTACGAAAAATAAATAGTGGAGTAAAGTACTGATACCAGAAAAATGTACTAAAGTACAGTAACAAAGTATTTGTACTTCAATGCTTTTCAGCTCTGTAAATGCATATGGTGATTTATTTGCAGCTGAAATCAGCTGACTGTATCAGGCACCAGCGTCTGTCCCCCTGCACACAGCAGGAAAAGGATTTAGTTCATTGTCTGTCATTTGAAAATTAAATATTGCAATTCATTTTCACATTCCATTTTCCGTTGTGACTCTCTAAACTGTTGATGTGCATTTATCCCATTATTGACTGTGTGATCCATCTGCTTGAGAACACATTAAGATAATATTTGAATACTTTCTTCTCGTGGTGTGTGTGTTTGAAGGTGGTGGCTCTGTGTTGTTACCCTGAGCTGCTGCAGAGTCCCTCCTTCCCTGAAGACGCCAAGCAACGCGCCCAGCGCATCCTGCAGGGCTGTGGAGGGCAGAGCCTCGGTGTGTGTGTGTGTGTGTGTGTGTGTGTGAGTGTGTGTGTGTGAGTGTGAGCAGACATAATCCCAGAGGACATACAGTCCTATTTACCAAGAAGCATTTGACTTGAGAAATCAGAGCAGAATGTAGTCTCTCTAAAACGTGTGTGTGTGTGTGTGTGTGTGTGTGTGTGTGTGTGTGTGTGTGTGTGTGTGTGTGTGTGTGTGTGTGTGTGTGTGTGTGTGTGTGTGTGTGTGTGTGTGTGTGTGTGTGTGTGTGTGTGTGTGTAGGCTCGTACAGTGCCAGTCAGGGGGTGGAGTGCATCCGTCAGCATGTAGCTGAGTTCATCACAGAGAGAGACCAGGGCGTCCCCTCCGACTGGAACAACATCTACCTCACCACAGGGGCCAGTGACGGCATCATGGTATGAGCAGCACTCTGTGGGGGGGGCTTTATGAGTTAATGACAGTTGTCGTCATAGTGATGGCACCTTCAGGATCGCTGCTCTGTGCCACATAGGAGATGATTGCACCTTTAAGACAGTCGCAGCTGTGTTGTACATCAGGGGTTCCCAACCTTTATTGTGCCAAGGACCGGCAGATACATAAAAAAAAAATCGCGGACCGGTTGTCAATTTGAACTGATTTTAATATTTACTCACTAGCAGGTAGCAACAGAGGCTAATTGTATGTAACAGCCTGAACAAATACTAGAACAATATGCATCCAAAACATATTAACAAAGTTTAAAAAAGAACCGGTGTTGTTTTTTGGTTTTTCGGTAAACCAAAAAACCGACGTTATTCTGTTTTAAACCAAAACGGGAAAACAGATAAATCAACGTTTTGGTTTTGTTTGTATGATTTACGGATAATCAGTGAATGCTGGGAAAACGAGGAGAAGGCGCATTATGAAGGAGATGTCCGGTCGCCAGGGTGTGTGTGTGTGTGTGTGTGTGTGTGGTGTGTGTGTGTGTGTGTGTGTGTGTGTGTGTGTGTGTGTGTGTGTGTGTGTGTGTGTGTGTGTGTGTGTGTGTGTGTGTGTGTGTGTGTGTGGTGTGTGTGTGTGTGTGTGTGTGTGTGTGTGTGTGTGTGTGTGTGTGTTCTTTAGGCTTTAACATACATGTGATTGTGTTAGCAGCAGTGTGTGAGCCTGACAGTGACATCAGGAGTGTGTGTTGTTGCAGAGCATCCTGAAGCTGCTGGTGTCGGGGGAGGGCAGCGGCAGGACGGGGGTGCTGATCCCCATCCCTCAGTACCCGCTGTACTCCGCTGCCCTCTCAGAGCTGGACGCCGTGCACATCCACTACTACCTGGACGAGGACAGCTGCTGGGCCCTGGACATAGAGGAGCTGCAGAGAGCGTATCTGAGCGCCAAGCAGCTCTGTACCCCCCGGGCACTCTGCATCATCAACCCCGGGAACCCCACCGGTAACACAGCACAGATCTGATCAGAGAGCAGCCACACACTCATAACAATTACAAGTTAACACACATCTGCATTGTTGGTCTAGAGTCAGGTTTGTATGTATGGAGCAGACCTTCATCTCAGGTGTGAGCCACGTGACAACTGGGTCATCAAGATCCAGTTCTAAACTAACATTCCATACATCACATTATAATACTCAGTTATCTTGAGTTAATGATGATTAGTTATATATCAATTACAACATCGAGACATGTTGAAGTGAAATCTAATTTTTGGTGAATAACTCAATAAAGTTGTGTAAGAGGTTATTTCATATAAATTATATTATATTTTATAAAGTAAATACTCTAATAAACATTACAGTAAACAATACAAGGATTTCAAACATGTCATGTACTCAGTCACATTCCATTTCTGATCATATGATTGAATGACCGCAACCACAAGGAAAGTGTATGAATATAGTATGAAGAGTTAGTTGATGTGTTCTGACCGCCACAATAGTATAACCCAGCTTTGATTCTCTGCCTGAACCCAGCTATAACAAATCTGACTGTAATTAGTTTTACATTTCATACATTTGAAGACACGTGGAAGTTAGATAATCACATTTTGTTCACATTTATACTACGCTACATATAGTTTTACTATAGTGTGCTCTCATATAGGCTTTTCTTGGAGAGGCTGAGTTTCTGCTAAAGACTGACACATCCTGTCTCAGCGCCTAAAAGCTGACTCTGAATATTTAAAGCCTTTTACATGGAAGTATTATCAAAGTGTTTATCTGCATCACGTTCAGACTGTTGAGGGCTGACATGTATCTGTGTAATTTCTTTTGTAACTGGGACAAACATTTCCACTGTGTGTAGCTTCAGCTCTGACAGCAGTTTGTCTCCCTCTGTCCTCAGGCCAGGTGCAGAGTAAAAAGTGTATCGAGGAGGTGCTGCACTTCGCCTATGAGGAGAATCTGTTCGTCATGGCTGATGAGGTAACTGCTGAACAGAGTCCATAGTACACCTGCTCATGAGAAATCCACTTTTAAGCATATTAAGAAATTCCATTAATTTGAAATGTCAAAGTGTTCAGAGCCTGTGTTGTTGCTTATGTGCAATGCATATGTGTGTGCAGTATCCAAGATATTTGATTTCAGCCAGTCTGCTGAAGTAAGACCCTTCAGCAGACTCTGACCCTCAGAGTCTGCTGAAGTAAGACCCTTCAGCAGACTCTGACCCTCAGAGTCTGCTGAAGTAAGACCCTTCAGCAGACTCTGACCCTCAGAGTTAGTGGTGTTTACAGTGACCGTGTCCTTGGAGTGCGGTCTATGTGTAAAATAACAACCAGGCTTTAGCTACCAACCAGAGTAACATCAAATCACATTTAATCAAAGTCACCAGCCTTTCTGATCCTTTCCTGTAATTCACATCACATCCATCAAAGGAGCCAGGCTAATTCTTTACAACACTTTTCTCACCATATTGACAAGAATTATTTTTAATGATAACACACAGAAAAAACACCAATATGTTCCTAATAAAAATAAGTTTCATAATTAGAATCTCTTTTATTACATATACTATGAATTTGCTGCAAATGGTGTATACGAAGACACAGAAAGAAGAATCCTTTTTACATTCTTTAAAGAACGGAGCAAAACATAGTTATTTTATCAAAACAATTTTAAAGACTATTGTAACGAATTAAAACAAATGAAATGCTTATGTTGTGCTTTAAGTGGCTTCTGGGAAATGCTTAGAAATGACAACTAATGTCCTTACGAGAGTGATTGATCTGTCTTTAATCTGTAACTGTGTCCTAAAATATGGATTTATGTAACATTGCACGGTCAGATGTGGTGCAGCTGACAGCGGCTGCAGGTGGAGCTGAGGGTGGAGCTGAGGGTGCAGCTAAGGGAGCTGAGGGTGCAGCTAAGGGAGCTGAGGGTGCAGCTAAGGGAGCTGAAGGTGGAGCTGCAGGTGGAGCTGAGGGTGGAGCTGAGGGTGCAGCTAAGGGAGCTGAGGGTGGAGCTGAGGGTGGAGCTGATGGTGGAGCTGCAGGTGGAGCTGAGGGTGGAGCTGAGGGTGCAGCTAAGGGAGCTGAGGGTGGAGCTGCAGGTGGAGCTGACGGTGGAGCTGAGGGTGCAGCTAAGGGAGCTGAGGGTGCAGCTAAGGGAGCTGAAGGTGGAGCTGCAGATGGAGCTGAGGGTGGAGCTGAGGGTGCAGCTAAGGGAGCTGAGGGTGGAGCTGAGGGTGGAGCTGAGGGTGGAGCTGCAGGTGGAGCTGAGGGTGGAGCTGAGGGTGCAGCTAAGGGAGCTGAGGGTGGAGCTGCAGGTGGAGCTGACGGTGGAGCTGAGGGTGCAGCTAAGGGAGCTGAGGGTGCAGCTAAGGGAGCTGAAGGTGGAGCTGCAGATGGAGCTGAGGGTGGAGCTGAGGGTGCAGCTAAGGGAGCTGAGGGTGGAGCTGAGGGTGGAGCTGAGGGTGGAGCTGAGGGTGCAGCTAAGGGAGCTGAGGGTGCAGCTAAGGGAGCTGAAGGTGGAGCTGCAGGTGGAGCTGAGGGTGGAGCTGAGGGTGCAGCTAAGGGAGCTGAGGGTGCAGCTAAGGGAGCTGAAGGTGGAGCTGCAGATGGAGCTGAGGGTGGAGCTGAGGGTGCAGCTAAGGGAGCTGAGGGTGGAGCTGAGGGTGGAGCTGAGGGTGGAGCTGCAGGTGGAGCTGAGGGTGGAGCTGAGGGTGCAGCTAAGGGAGCTGAGGGTGGAGCTGCAGGTGGAGCTGACGGTGGAGCTGAGGGTGCAGCTAAGGGAGCTGAGGGTGCAGCTAAGGGAGCTGAAGGTGGAGCTGCAGGTGGAGCTGAGGGTGGAGCTGAGGGTGCAGCTAAGGGAGCTGAGGGAGGAGCTGCAGGTGGAGCTGAGGGTGCAGCTAAGGGAGCTGAAGGTGGAGCTGCAGGTGGAGCTGAGGGTGAAGCTGAGGGTGCAGCTAAGGGAGCTGAGGGTGGAGCTGAGGGTGGAGCTGCAGGTGGAGCTGAGGGTGGAGCTAAGGGAGCTGAGGGTGGAGCTAAGGGAGCTGAGGGTGGAGCTGCAGGTGGAGCTGAGGGTGGTGCTGAGGGTGGAGCTAAGGGAGCTGAGGGTGGAGCTGCAGGTGCAGCTGAGGGTAGAGCTGCAGGTGGAGCTGAGGGTGGAGCTAAGGGTGCTGAGGGTGGAGCTGCAGGTGGAGCTGAGGGTGCAGCTAAGGTAGCTGAGGGTGCAGCTAAGGGAGCTGAGGGTGGAGCTGAGGGTGGAGCTGAGGGTGCAGCTAAGGGAGCTGAAGGTGGAGCTGCAGGTGGAGCTGAGGGTGAAGCTGAGGGTGCAGCTAAGGGAGCTGAGGGTGGAGCTAAGGGAGCTGAGGGTGGAGCTGAGGGTGGAGCTAAGGGAGCTGAGGGTGGAGCTAAGGGAGCTGAGGGTGGAGCTGCAGGTGGAGCTGAGGGTGCAGCTAAGGGAGCTGAGGGTGCAGCTAAGGGAGCTGAAGGTGGAGCTGAGGGTGCAGCTAAGGGAGCTGAGGGTGGAGCTGCAGGTGGAGCTGAGGGTGGAGCTGAGGGTGCAGCTAAGGGAGCTGAGGGTGGAGCTGCAGGTGGAGCTGACGGTGGAGCTGAGGGTGCAGCTAAGGGAGCTGAGGGTGCAGCTAAGGGAGCTGAAGGTGGAGCTGCAGGTGGAGCTGAGGGTGGAGCTGAGGGTGCAGCTAAGGGAGCTGAGGGTGGAGCTGCAGGTGGAGCTGAGGGTGCAGCTAAGGGAGCTGAAGGTGGAGCTGCAGGTGGAGCTGAGGGTGAAGCTGAGGGTGCAGCTAAGGGAGCTGAGGGTGGAGCTGAGGGTGGAGCTGACGGTGGAGCTAATGGAGCTGAGGGTGGAGCTGAGGGTGGAGCTAAGGGAGCTGAGGGTGGAGCTAAGGGAGCTGAGGGTGGAGCTGCAGGTGGAGCTGAGGGTGGAGCTAAGGGAGCTGAGGGTGGAGCTGCAGGTGGAGCTGAGGGTGGAGCTAAGGGAGCTGAGGGTGCAGCTAAGGGAGCTGAGGGTGGAGCTGCAGGTGGAGCTGAGGGTGGAGCTGAGGGTGCAGCTAAGGGAGCTGAAGGTGGAGCTGCAGGTAGAGCTGAGGGTGAAGCTGAGGGTGCAGCTAAGGGAGCTGAGGGTGGAGCTGAGGGTGGAGCTGCAGGTGGAGCTGAGGGTGGAGCTAAGGGAGCTGAGGGTGGAGCTAAGGGAGCTGAGGGTGGAGCTAAGGGAGCTGAGGGTGGAGCTGCAGGTGGAGCTGAGGGTGGAGCTGAGGGTGGAGCTAAGGGAGCTGAGGGTGGAGCTGCAGGTGGAGCTGAGGGTGGAGCTAAGGGAGCTGAGGGTGGAGCTGCAGGTGCAGCTGAGGGTAGACCTGCAGGTGGAGCTGAGGGTGGAGCTAAGGGTGCTGAGGGTGGAGCTGCAGGTGGAGCTGAGGGTGGAGCTGAGGGTGGAGCTAAGGGAGCTGAGGGTGGAGCTGCAGGTGGAGCTGAGGGAGCTAAGGGTGCTGAGGGTGGAGCTGCAGGTGGAGCTGAGGGTGGAGCTGAGGGAGCTGAGGGTGGAGCTGCAGGTGGAGCTGAGGGTGGAGCTAAGGGAGCTGATGGTGGAGCTGCAGGTGGATCTGAGGGTGGAGCTGCAGGTGGATCTGAGGGTGGAGCTGCAGGTGGATCTGAGGGTGGAGCTGCAGGTGGATCTGAGGGTGGAGCTGAGGGTGGGGCTGAGGGAGCTGAGGGTGGAGCTGAGGGAGCTGATGGTGGGGCTGAGGGTGGAGCTGAGGGTGGAGCTGAGGGAGCTGATGGTGGAGCTGCAGGTGGAGCTGAGGGTGGAGCTGAGGGAGCTGATGGTGGAGCTGCAGGTGGAGCTGAGGGTGGAGCTGAGGGTGGAGCTAAGGGAGCTGCAGGTGGAGCTCGGTAGTTGAACCTGCGTCTGTCCTCCAGGTGTACCAGGACAACGTGTACTCAGCAGACTGTCACTTCCACTCCTTCAAGAAGGTCCTGTATGAGATGGGCCCTGAGTACTTCAACAACGTGGAGCTGGTGTCCTTCCACTCCACCTCCAAGGGCTACACCGGAGAGTGAGTATCTGACACTGAGCCCCACTCTGGGAACACAAGGAGCAGGTGGTTGTACGTCCACTCTGAAAAGTTCATATTTGTCATGGGGGAGGATGAAGAGGAGAGAAGCTGCTCTGTAGTCTAATGCAGCAGAAACTGACTGTGGCTGAATAGTCTGTGTTTGTATAATAATTAGGGCTGTCAAGTTAACGCGTTAATAACGCGTTAACGCAAAAAAAAAATTACGCCACTAATTATTTTAACGCGATTAACGCATGTGTATTTTTTGTCCTCGGCCGCCCCGTAGTTTCAGAGCGCATCGAGTTTAAAATACCATCTACAAGCTGATGCTGACAGCCCCGCTCCTGCCGCTCGCTTGTGGCAGACCACACTTCCACGCTCACCGGCAGGCCCGGACTGGCCATCGGGAGGACCGGGAGGGTGTGTGTATGTGTGGCGCGAGCGAGGCACACCTTACGTATTGTTGTTGTTGTTAGCATCTGGTGCTAGCTAGCTGCGCTAACGGATATAAGGAGCTGTTTCAATGAAAACAGTGGGACATTGTACGAAAAGTCAGCACACTCAGCACGGATAGTGCGCGCAACATGATTGCAGCGTCCAGGCAGCTCCCGTTCGAGCATACATGCCTTGAGCTGCACATAGCTCCAACGATCCATCACAGTGTCTCCACATTCTCACACACACACACACACACACACCCACCCCCCCCCCCCCCCACACACACACACACACACTTTGTATTGTATTATTGTATGAGAGGTTCCAGGTTGAATTGAGGCGAATATTTGTAATGTTCAGGTTGTTGTGTTTAATATTCATGAGAATATTTGTCATTGTTCAAATGATAATAAACAAACATATAAAGCATATTTGTCCACTCATATGTTGATAAGAGTATTACAAACTTGAAAAATATCCCTCTAAGGTACATTTAGAACAGATAAAAAATGTGCCATTAACTATGGACAATCATGCGATTAATCGCGATTAAATATTTTAATCGACTGACAGCCCTAATAATTATATTTCTTTATTTGGCAGCAGGGCAGTTTTTCAATGTTTTCAAAGGTTATCTTGACAACACATCACCGTATCACACACTAGCCTCGCCCTGTTGCCTTTTATCTATCTCGTTAGGCCTCTTTATATTTGATTGACATTGCTTTATTACCATAAGTAACCACATGCTTTGTATGAGTGATCCATCATCGCTCAGTCAGCTGTAGAGCAAGGAGGACAACCAGCACAGAGACACAAGTACAACACTCATCAGCAGCAACATTCAGAGTCCACCAGCCAATCTGCTACAACTAACGGGCTTCTCAGTCTTTGTGATGATAATGTCTGTCTGAAAGACGTGGCCAAACACAAGCTTTTTCTCAAATGTTATCTGTGACGTCACCATCACTTTTCTCTCATCTTATAAATGGGCTTCTCTTTGTTTGTCCCCCCAGGTGTGGTTTCCGTGGAGGCTACATGGAGGTGCTGAACATGGACCCCCAGGTGAAGGAGCAGCTGGTCAAACTGCTGTCTGTACGCCTCTGCCCCCCCGTCCCGGGACAGGCAGCCATGGACGTCATCGTAAACCCCCCCAGAGAGCACGAGCCCTCGTACGCTCAGTTCATCAAGGTGGGTCTTTACCTGCTCACAATATTACATCTGTGTTAGTGACAGGCAGCAGCACTGAGAGGAACACAGAGCAGTCAGTTTAGAGATGAAGCATCCAGAGAAACAGCTCATCGATCAACACCTGAGGACGTTGGCGTCATTAGAGACGTCTCTGAGGAGAGTACGCGTCTAACCGAAAATCTCATTATCTTTTTAGACTGTATAGTTTACCTCTTCAGGCCTAAAAAGACAAACTGAAATTCAACTGCATGTTTGATTTTCTGATACTGCATACATTTCTGCTGTTTCCTGTGCATGAATCCCTCTGCTTACTCACAGTAATGTGTCTGTGTAAATGGACAACTCTCCATGCAGTCAATTGTGTGCAGAAAGCAGTAACTTTAGATAGCAGCCTGCTAAACAACAAGAGACACACAGGACTCAACTTCATTGGAATCATATGGCATATCATATATGGTATGGCACAGGCTTCTAGTGGAATCCAAGCCCATGAGCTGACAGGGATCCATCTAACAGAGTTTCCATTGGTCAGTCAGTAGTGTTTCTACACTATGTTGAACCCTGATGTAACAAGACGCCAATGCTGCAGTCTTCTCCAATACAGGGCTGTATGATAAATAATTAAAGAAGTCACACTGAGGAAACCCACACGCTGTTTCAGTTCAAAGGTGCTTAAAGCCTCTTACACACCAAACTGACACCAAAGAATACCAAAGAACACGTCCCGACGGAACGTCGCCTCACGTCTCCTGTGTCTTGGCCATGTTTCGCTCTGGAACACACCGCAAAGACTTCAGCCAACGGCTAAGTTGCACGTACGAACTGCGCATGCGTGAGTGGCAATAACTCTCCTTACCAGCAGGCGGCGGTAGTGTGTATTCGTCATTCAAAAGAGGCAACAACCGGAAGACATACAGCGTGATAACAGACTGCGTGATATAAACAAACAGCAAATAGCGTGTGCGTTCCATTTTCACTCTACAGCGAGAAGCTCATGGGGCTTTCCCGAACCTGTGTCGAGAGCTGGAGTTAAATGAAATCTCAGATTTGCCTTCTTAATAGTTTGTTTGGGTCCCTCACTTCCGTTTCGCTTCTCATGCACTGATTCGCTAAGCTGAACAGCCAATCAGAGTGATTTCTTTGGCCGACAGCCTACCGATTCAACATGTCGAATCGGCGGCAGAAGGTGTCGGCACGGCCGAAAAGACACGACGGTGCAGTACACACCAATCTGAGTAGGTTGACACGACGCTCATCGATAATACCATTGATGAAACTGTTTAAAGACGATAAGATGTTTTACTGAAGCACTGACACTGGCAGCGCCCTCTTCTTTCCATGACTTTCAGCTGGTGTGTGTCCCTGACCAACACACAGTAGTGTATTCTGGCCTCAGCCTTGTGTATTATGGGTTGTGTTTTCCAGGAGAAGAGCTCGGTCCTGGACGTCCTGGCTCAGAAGGCCCGGCTGACGGAGCAGATCCTGAACTCTGTTCCTGGGATTAAATGCAACCCGGTCCAAGGAGCCATGTACGCCTTCCCTCGGATATTCATTCCCCCCCGAGCCATTCAGGAAGCCAAGGTCAGTAACAGCATGTACTTTAATATGCAAAAATACACCAGAACAAAACAAACTATCCACACACTGCCTTTCCAATGCAGGGACACAAACATATTTGGTTCATATTTGTGTACAACACTATTGTGTTCTAACAAGGAAGTTGTTCATTCAGGTATGTGTTATTCATACTTAAGAACAGAGGGGTGCCGCAAAGATTAATTTTATTGGCCCAGCCGGAAGTAACCACAAAACCAAAAACCAAAAAAAAAAACCAATGCTAACACTCAGCCTCTGAATTAGCCACGAGCGAAAAAATGTAACCTAAAACGGCACTTAAACTCACAATAACTCCCTTATTACTTATCCTAGATGCACAGCCAACCACTCGTTTTTGGTGTCCTGGAGACACTGAATCTGTGTAAAAAACCTCAACACTCAGTGATAAACATTTGCGACGCTATAAACGAAAGCGTACATCAGAACATGTGGAGCTAGGTAGCTAGAAACGCTAACATGGCTTACCTTGGTCAAAACTGGTCTTCAATGGCATTAAAACGATAAAAAAACGATGCTGCAGTTAATCCATAGGTTAATCCAATGCATCTGTGCCCTCTTTGAAATGATTTCTGATAATCCATAAGCAATAAAACTGCTTTTTCGTTTCCAAATGCCAGAGCTAGAGATCGCTTCACTCTGCTCCACATTTACATGCGCGCAGCCCCCACCTTTTCTCTTCACAACGTGTGTGTGTGGGAGCCTCCCCCTTCGATTCTATTGGCTCTAACGGTCAGAAAGAGGTGTCAACCATCCAAATCGACCAAGGGGGGCCAGAGATATGGAAAAAAAAACATTTTCACCCAAATCACCTCAGAGGTGGGGTGGTTTTGGCTAAACCTCTCTAAAAATGTCAAATGTCACTTGTTTTGCATCAATCTTGATACAGGGTACTTATTATATGTTGTACTTTGGATTCCTAAAGCTTTTAGTCTACTAACCCATCATCCAAGGGTAGTTTTCACTATCTGTAAAAAATTATTTTTGGACGGACACTATAATTTACAGTTTTTTACTATGTAATATCTGAATTTTCTTTAAAATAAAAAACATTTATATTGATTCTGACACTTCTACATCCAACTCACAGATGTAACCTTGCTTTGATAAAAGAAATTATTCATATAACCCTTTTAGAAGTTAAGTTGTAGTCATTTGTTTTGGGCATGTCATTTTCGAGCCTGAAACATGAAAAACAGGCTTGGTGCTTAACAGGTTAAGTGCTCTTTTTGGTGTGAATGCGACATAAGGGGTACTAACGGAACTAAACGCGAAAAGTACGGTGAAAAGTACTGAGATTATTGGAGTTCACATACCCTGTCTCCCAAATATTGTATTGTTGAATGACGATTCTTCTCTTGACCTACAGAAACATCAGAAAAGGGTGCTTTTCGCTGGTCTAACAGCAGCCAAAAAAATAATTGTAATACGATGGAAACCCCCACACATGTATCTGTGTATATAAGTCCCTCTGTGAGGGCAAACAAAAAAATAAAATAAAAAAATACTTAAATGTTTTGTTCAGCAGGATAATCTCCACAAATTATTGTTTTTTGAAGCATAAACACAATGGGCAGAAGTAAAAGCTAATGTTTGGCTATAAAGGAACTACAGCAAGGTCACATGACTTCACCAGCGCTAAGCTAAAGGCAGCTAATGTTGGGCGTGATGACGTTTAGGCGTCTGATTTAGTTAGCAAACGCCGTGTTTAGATCCACCAGTGGGGTATTTACTGACGTATTTGATGTCGTAGAAAAAACGTGAAATCTCTTCAGTTTGTTTTACAATTCTAACTCATTTCCATATTTAATGATTCAGTCCTGCACTTCTCTATAAATATGAAATTATCTTGAGAGTGTATCCCAGCATGCATTGAGAAGCAGGAAGTGGATGTTCCTGAACATGTTTCCAGTCTGATGCCCGAAGCTGAGCAGATGAATAACACTGGTGTGTGTGTGTGTGTGTGTGTGTGTGTGTGTGTGTGTGTGTGTGTGTGTGTGTGTGTGTGTGTGTGTGTGTGTGTGTGTGTGTGTGTGTGTGTGTGTGTGTGTGTGTGTGTGTGTGTGTGTGTGTGTGTGTGTAGGCCCGCTCCATGGCTCCTGACATGCTGTACTGTCTGAAGCTGCTGGAGGAGACAGGGATCTGCGTGGTTCCAGGAAGTGGCTTCGGCCAGAGGGAGGGGACGTATCACTTCAGGTTGGACAGGAAGCCTTCCTTCAACTTTTATTCATACTGTTAACAAGATGTGACATCATGACCATAGGATCATTACATAAAGACATTTTTTTAAAGTGTCAAGCAACTAATCTGTCTTGGTTTCCAAACTTGATTGTGATTTAAAAAGTGAGGCTGCATAAGAAATAAACCCATTATGTTTTACTATTGCACCGCCCTAAAGAAGTGGCACATTCAAATGCATCCGCCTATCCTCTCAAAAGATGTGGCGCTGAAAGCCTGCTAACCACCAGTCAGTATAGCTCAGTGGCTATCCAGATCACAGTGTTGAGGTCTGAATAAACTGACCAGAGTCGCGGGAAGGTATTTTGAGTGGGGGTGCTGTCCGATGTGCTAATTATTACGCACAGGGAGGGGGGGTTTGACGTTGACATACACCGAGCAAAACCACACACACACAGTGGCATAACAATGGACTCCAGTGCACGCTATTACGGGCACTATAGAGCACGCACAACAGCGCAAGCACACACACACACACACACACTACAAAGATGTAAAATATTATTTTACGAACAATGTGGAATTTACAGTCATTGAAGTAGGCTATCAAGGCATTGCTAATTCCTGGCTACATATTACACAGATTCTGCACGGCGGCAGCAGCAATAACCATACAATTATAATTCAAATACCACAAACATGATATTGACCAGTATACAGATTCTGCACGGCGGCAGCAAATAACCAAAAATGATTAATAATGCATGTCTTACCTATTTGAAGACCCCAAATGTGGACTTCCGTTCAGGGGTGTTGTCGATGAATCTTTTCATCAGTGGCTGGATGTCCAACCGATCAAGAATGTCACTGTGTACGTGCATTACGGCCAGGTGTGTCAGTCGTCTCTGTGTCATGTTGCTCCGAAGCCAGGTTTTGAGGCGGCAAAGGGTGGAGAATGAACGCTCAGAGGAAGCAGCAGAGACAGGTAGACATAGACAAAGTTCGATCAACTTTTCCACTTCTGTCAGGAGTTCCCTGGTTTGAGGCTGCAGTGCTCCGATGAATCCTGCAACATCTTGAGCTGTCTTGAGTCCTTTTGTCTTGGAGAGGTCACCCAGCAATGTGAGCTGCATATGTAGACGAGATTTATCGAACTGATCGGGCACCTGTGCAGCAGTGATCTCTCTCATGCCTGAGTATTCTCCTTTTGCGGCATTGATAACAGTTTGCTCGACTGGCAGCGACTTGTAGGCATTCTTGGTCGAATCAGCGATCCAGCACGGTTGTCACAAGATCCAAGGCCTCATAGAACTCACGCCGCCACTGCTGCTCTCCTACATCAGTCACAATGTATATGTGAAATCGCCCTTGTGCGTTCGGCCCACCGAGTCGGGCATAATGACAGCAAGTTGCAAACCGCCTCATCATCACCAAACATGGACTGGAACAGCGTCTTGCGCTTTGATGACTCCCCGATCACCACTGAGACACTCCGTACAAAGTTTAATGTGTCTGCAACAACACAAACTTCCCTCGCCACTTCTTGTAATACCAGATCAAGTGCATGGTTACTACAGTGCACGTATAGTGCAGATGGACACTGCTCTTTCAGTTTGGCTTGCACGCCCGAGATGCGGCCTGACATATTCGCAGCACCATCGAAGAAAAATCCCCTGAGACAGTGGGAAATTCAAGTGCAGAAAAACATCCTTTATGCAAGAAAAAAGTGTTTCTCCAGTTGAATCAGGTGCACTGTAAAATCCAAGGAAAACATTCACTGCCTCAAGTTTTGAATCCACGTATTGCAAAGTAATGGAAAATTGCTCTGATGTACTTATATCAGTGGTCGCATCTGCAGTAAGACCATAGAAAGAATGCTCTCTCGCGATTTCTCTTTGAACAGCATGGGCGAATATCTCCAGTATTTCATTTTGTACGGTGTCGGACATCCAGTTGTCTCTTCGCTGTAGCCACTCCCGGCATTTTGGCAATGTAAATGTCCGCTCCATCATGAGTTTCCAAAGCACCCCATCTTGATTGTTATGGCCTCTTAATGATAGTCCTAAACTGCAGCTGAATCTTACTGATCTGAATATTAGCTCTAGGACTGTTCTGGCCGTTGTTTGCTCTTTCTCAACAATATCCGACAGTAGAGCATTAATGAGAGTGTTGTTGAGCGAAGCAAGCATTCTCGCCGATTCTGAGTGTATGTCAGACAACTCGTGCTGGCTAAACTTTGTGGTTGCTTTACAAAGCTAGTTACAAAAGCCTCCTACTGTAAATGAACTTGTCTTTCTGTCATTATGTCTTAAGCCCTTCTCTATAGGCTGCATCTCAGGTCGATTAAATGGAATCCTTGCGTCCCTCACTTGCGTTGTTTCCCTGCGACTAGTCCCTCCCACCAGGGAAGCATGGAGAGACACAAGGAAACCACGAGAAGCAGGGAAATGAGTTTTAAGAGCAATGGGACGTCCTTTCCTCCGGAGCGTCACGTGAAGCGACGTCCGTTTGTGATGACGCTGCACAGCTGATGTCTGACAGCAGCTCTGTCCCCGTTGTTTTCACAAACACCCCCGCCTCTGTTAGTACACATTTACTGACACAAATATTTGTATCATCTGTTGTAGACCCAAATAAATAAAAATAAAATAAGAACTCATTCTCAAAAAAGATAAACGCCATTCTTAAAATGTATTAACGAAAAAAGCGATCATGAAAATGTTTCCAATAAATTAATAAAATGATTTTTGACCACTTTGTTGTTCAGATATATCACATATTTGTAACTAAATGATACATTAATTGAAACAAAACACAGTATAAACTGAGGAGTGAGTCCCGTGAGTTTCATGTATTTTCTTCACTCCGCTGGGAAACTGCTCTCATGTCAAGAAGCATCAGATCATTGCATGCGCTGCATCGTCCAATCAGTGAGCGATACACAGTAAGGGGGCGGGGCGAGTATCTAAGGATTTCATCGGAGGATGGTCTGGTGGTTCCTCGGTTATCGCTCCTCCATTATCGCTCCTCGCTCCTCGATCCTCGATCCTCGGTCCTCCGGCAGAAATAAGACCCATGGGACGCTACTCAAGATGGCGCAGACAAATCAACTTCCGGTGAGACCGAGGACCGACGACCGAGGAAATGAAAATAGTCGACCTGAGACGCAGCCTATGGCTTTGCAGCAGGTGAAGCAAAGAACGGTGTCTCTCTCCGTGACATAATGCACCCATTTCCACCGGGTAAACCAGCTTTTCTGAAATGACCGCTCGAAGGTCTCTGTCCCAATTTTCCTCCCAGGAAAACGTATGTCTGGTCGACACGGCTCATCAAACCCCAAAACGTTAGGAACTTACAGTGTCGGGTCTAGCTTGTCAACTGCACCTGGTGTGTGGCCATGGCTAGCGTTAGCCACAGCTGAACTGCTAGCTCCAGTTTCCTCCGTGCTGCTGCTAGGAGGCTGGTGCTCGTTGGTGGTGGTGGTGGTAGACAAATGCCCTGCCCCTGCATCTTCTATTTCAATCTTTTTAGCGTTTTTAGTGAGAAAGAATTCCGAGATACGTTTTTGCGCCATGTCAGTTACTTGTCACTTGTGTTGTGCGTCACGTTAAAAGTAGCCGACAAAAAATTTACAAAAAACTTTTTTTCCACATCTTTTTTCTTTCCTGAAGCAAAATAATTTATTATATAGTTTTAAATTATCATTTGAATAATAATATATAATATAAAATATATCTCAGGCACAATGAAATGAAATAAGGAGGAGGAGCATAGGAGGCGCGTGAGGCTCAGGTTTGGGAAGGCTAAATAACTTTTTTTACCTGACGCTGCCCGCCTCCGGCGTCAGCCGCCTGCTGACCAATCAGAGCTCAGTGTGCAGAGTTTAAATCTATCAAGTCATATTACAGGATAAAGGAAATACAGTTTAAACTGCCGTAGCCTATGCAGAGAAGACGCCGACGTGTCGCACTTATCATTCATATCACATCATCAATCAGATCATCGATCATATAATATCACAATATTTCCTTATCTGAGTCAGCTTCTCGAGCCGTATCTGGCCGTGCAACACTTACATTGTCACATATACTGTATGCAGAAGTATTATTTTAAGCAACACATTAAGTTGACGAAACACTCAAATGTAATTAAAGTCAGATCCACTCGTGTCTTAGATGAGGCAGTGATATCATAAAACTGTTGTACGCATTCAAACACTCGGTAGTTTATTTATTTTTTAACCAGTTGTTATATATTCACCTTGCAGGTGCAACTATCTGGATTATATGTTTAAGTCATGGAGGTTTAAAGTTCATATTTGTCTAATATTAGTTTACTTTTCATTAATGAAGTATGACGCTGCGCTGTCAGTACACTTGTCCCTGTTTGTGATTGGTCAAATGTCGCTAACCCCGCCCCTTTCACGTGCTCTCAGCTGGAGAGAGAAACCCTGGCTTGATTTACAGAGTTGATAACCAGCGTCGTAGGACCGCTTAGCGAGATCTCGTTTGTTAGGGTTAGTTAAGATAACTCAAACATATCCAGGGTCTGTTGAACTGGCTTCGTAATGCAGGGCACAGGTGGCTGCATAGCAGCACTAATGTCAAAGACACAAACATTATACATTATATTTTTATTTTACCAGGATGCAGTGACACAAATATTTGGGAAGGCTTAGCCTTCCCTAGCCTACAGTACCCGCCTCAGCACCCCTCTTCCCGCGCCCCTGAAACTGACTGCAGAGCAGACTGCCTTCTGGGGTGGAGCTGTTATAGTTGATCACAAACTGCTTACAGTCCAATCATAAAACAGCATGGTGAGATGAGACACACCGATGAACTATCCAAGCTTTAGAATAGGGGCCCAGACACTAAATAGAAAATATTTAAAATATATTTCATTAACATTAATACATTGAAGTGAGAGCATGTGAAAACATTGAATCTAAAAAACAGCTAACACTAAAAATGTACAAATGAAAAACATTTCAAAGAGTGTAGTCCTCGGATATGTGAAGCTTTGACATATTTTAATAACTGCTCCATTACTCTCTTTTTGCAGAAAGACACAGATAAAAAACATTTTATTGTGTTATTATTCTCATTCCATACCTGTGGACCTCTGCAAACCACACCAAATGCCTCCTACTTTATGCTCTGCAGTATAATGATTATTGTATTTCATTGTCATAAATGCTGGTTAGAGTGAGAAAGATTGAGTGTGTAAAATATGTGTTTGTGTGTCTTTGTTCGTTAGAATGACCATCCTGCCGAGCCCAGAGAAGCTCACGGTCCTCCTCGGGAAGCTGAAGGAGTTCCACCTGCGGTTCCTGGAGGAGTATTCCCAGGAGGGAGCTCAGAGCAGCAGCCTTCACAGAGAGGAGGGGGTTCAGAGCAGCAGCCTTCACAGAGAGGAGGGGGCTCACTGAGGCTCAGACTGAGAGTGTCACCTTATTATTGCTTTGGGTTTGAACTTGTGTTACAGAAATACTGTGCCTTCTCCTCAGATGATGATTGAAGGGCCACATGATCCTCTACCAGATAAAGACAACACAGAACAGTGACTGATCTCCCAGAGTGCATCATGCTCTCAGTGCTTTCTACCATCTGCTCTGTCCATCCACACTCATCTAATGATGCTGAGCCGAGCACCTCAAACATCAGGTTATGAAATGCTATGCGAATGAGGAGTTGTATGCCTCTATTAAAGTGCAGCTTCAAAGTTTTTCAAAAGTAATTGATTGTTTTTTTGTTTGTTTTGCTATTGTCCTATAATATTAAAGGCTTTGTTTACTCTAATCGTTTCTGTCACTGTTAGTAGAATTCAGTTTATGGAGATACAGAAGTAAGAAACTCAATGAGTTATTCTGCCAGCCCCCTCTCTTAACGTTTGGTTAAGTTATAGCAAAATAAGATAAGTGAGGCCAAAATGTGAGTAGGATCACCAAATAAGTCAGAACCAGGCCAGCAGCCAAGGGATTTCTGAATAACTTGGTTGTGATTAACACACAGACCTTTCTGTGGCTTGAGACATTTCTCATTAGCTTGTTGTACATGTAGCACTGTGGGAATAGACTAGGGATGATGTTAGTACTCCTAAAATCCTGGCTCTGTCTAAACCCTGTATTGTAAGGTCAGCCTGTAAAGATATATGAACAAAGGTCTTTGATAAACAAGGTTCAAGGTTCTTTATTTAGTCATACGTACATAGCTACAGTGTAGTTATGCCGATGAAAATCGGCATCGTGTCACAGGCTTCTCCAACAGTGCAAGTAAATAGTAATACAAAAATAAAAAGTTTAAAAATAGTGAAATAGTGCAATAAGAGTCTATATGCAAGTTATTGAAATATGATATATAGGTAAATAGATAAATAATTTTAAAATAATTTTTAAGTAGCAGCCAGATGAATATTAAGGATGTTGTTTCAACTGTTCAGGTGTTTAACAGTCTTATTGCCCGTGGGATGAAACGGGGGGTTACGTATTGTAACCCTAGTTATATAAGCACAGGCGGAGCCCTCTACTGGACTCTATGGGTACTACCTCTCAACCATACTATGCGAGACCCACAGCACCCCCCCAGTCCTGTGTTGCCCCAGCAAGCACAGACGATGAGAAGGAGTCAGACATGTCCAAGAGATAAGACCTTATGAAGGGGCCTGGCGTAGACCAAGACGCCGCCGTGCATATATCCTCCACACTCACGCCGTTGAACAAGGCTGTTGATACAGCCATACCACGTGTAGTGTGCATGGACCCCAATGGGGAAGGCTCTCCCCGCCTGTCCGTAGGCATGTGAAATGCACTCGCAGAGCCATCCTCTCAGGCGTTTCTTGGACAGAGCTTTACCGGCCACACCATCCCGAAAGCACACAAACAGCTGTTCAGTGCGCCTAATGGAAGCCGTGCGCACTACATAACATGCCAGCGCACGCACCGGGCAGAGGAGGTGCAAATTAGCCTCCCTGTCCCCAATATGGGTTGGAAGACTAAAGCCTTCTAACTGTATAGCCCTCGCCCTGAACAAACTCCTTAGGTTCGGTCTGAGTGTCGCCCCGCTACGGTCACCCCGAATCAAAAGGCAACTCGGGTGCATCGACAGAGTGGTCAGCTCGCACACTCTCTTGGCCGAAGTCAAGGCAAGCAGCAAAGCTGTTTTCAATGATAGTGCCTTCAGGGAGGAGAGCTCCAGAGGCTCAAATGGTTCTGTGACCAGAGCCTCGAGCACCAGGGGCAGATCCCATTGCGGGGTGGAGACATGCACCACTGGGCACTGTCTCCTGACCCCCTGCAAAAAAACGCGCCATAAGCGGCTGACTAAAGGCTGACCTGCCGCCAAATCCCTCATGGCAGGACGAGATGGCTGCTGCACACACCTTAATTGTCCACCAGTATCTGTAAATAGGACAGAATAGAGCCCAATGTACATGATAGAGGCTCTAGACTCCTTCCTCACACCACCGCTGGAATCCCAACCACTTCGTCCTGTAACAGGCTGTGGTGGATCCCACTCCTGCTGCTTGGATAGTCTGAATAACTTTGTCAGACAGTCCCTCCCGTCTCAGCCTGTCCCTCTCAGGAGCCAAGCCTGGAGAGGTTGGCCCAGAGTGGGTAACGCCCCTATTGCACCTGCGGTGGAAAGGCGTAGAGCAGCTATCTTGGCCATGTCTCGTGTGCAAACGTGTCCACCACGTGGTGGATTGTCCTGCAGAGCCAGGGAGAACCACCATTCGTCTGGCAGGGGCCCGCCTCTTGACATGAGTTGGATGAGTTCTCCAGTCCCGGAATGTGGGGAACCACAGGTTCTCCGCTGCGCTAAACAAGGCGGCGGAGCTGACTCCGTCCTGCCTGTTGATGTAAGCCACTGTGGTGCGGTTGCCGCTCCTCACCAGCACATTTTTGCCCTGTAGTAAGGGTTTGCAGTGCTGTAGGAGCAGTACTACTGCCCGTAGCTCTAGAAGGTTGATGTGCCGAGTTTCTGTCAGAGGCCAGCCACCACCTATAGCTCTCTCTAGGCAGGTCCCCCCCCCATCCTGTCACGGATGAATCTTGAACACCGTGACGTAGGAGGCAGTGGCGAGCCGTGACTTTTATACCTAGGTCCTCTGACCCCCCCCCCCCCTTCCCTAAAAAAAAAAATGACTTAGGCCTACCTTTGATGATCAAATCACTTAAACACAAAGTCCATCCTCCTGTCCTTTTGGATGAAGCACTTGATGGCGGGTCATGCAGCTGATCCTTTGCCACTCCAATTTATCATTGTAACTCAATCTTGAAAATGACTCGGTTAATAATTTCGCAACGATGTCATCATTATCACTGACATGAGCCATCATGAACGGACTTATGCTAATCATAAATCTATCGAAAATTATAAAAGTAGGGTAGACATGTGGATATTATCCGGCTGAACAAAACGTGCATTAACAGGTTCGTTTTCCACAGACCTTATTTCGAGCTATTTTCCAAAATCCTATGGAGAAATCCCATTGCTTTTTTGTCGAGGGAACCCGAGCGCAGCTTACTTCCGGGTTTTAGGACGTGTCACTGCACCACTTTATACACATGCATAAACCTCACAGCGGGCGGAACTTGTCATAAAGTCAGCGAAAATAAAGCCCACCCATTTAGAGGGAAGATATGATTGGTCAATTGTACTGTCATTTGACATTACTCTCTCATTGAGTTACTATAGCGGGCCCTCTGTGAATTTACAGTAGGACCACCAATCAGCTCCTCTCTTCACAGTAACTCGCCGAGAAGGCCAGACGAGCTTCTTTTATTTAACCCTTCATATTCAAACAGAAACTGAACAGGCAGATTCGAAGGATTTATTTCTTTGGAAATGTTATTTTAAATACAATTAAATCAAGTTATTTTGGTAAAACTAATGAAAAATATAACAAAAAAAATATTGAAAAAATAAATGTTTTTTTTTTTACGTTTTCAAATATTATTTTTTAGAATATCTTATCTTACTGCTTTGGGGCCCTGACGGCTCGCCACTGATAGGAGGTCACCCGCCCCAGCGGAGTTCCCCTCCGCAGATGCTTTGGGGACCCCCAGTATCGTAGGTTGCCCTCCACTGAGGGGGGGGATGGTCACCAGACGTCGTTTGTGCCTCTTGGGATCTAAACGAAGGCCGGCAAACCACCTCTGCAGGCGAGACACTGTTCAACACTTCATTCTGCTTCACTTTTTCGCTAAAGATTTTGAAGACATCCGCGTTCTTGTGACTCGTAAATACTACGCTTCCTGTGTTTTGGTGCGGACTGCGTTCACACCAGCGATGAACCGCTCCAGAGTTCACTAGCAAGCAGTCCGAGACCACCTCTTTTAGGGCGCATTCAAACCAGCCTTTTATAGTCCGGTTGAATCGAACCCTGGTGCTTTTAGCCGCTTGGTGCGGTTCATTTGGGTCGGTGTGAATACAGTCCGAGACCTCTTAAGTGAACTAAACAACCGGACTCTGGTCCGCTAAAATAGGTGGTCTCGGAACGCTTGCTTGCGAACTCTGGAGCGGTTCATTGCTGGTGTGAACGCAGTTCGCACCAAAACATAGGAAGCGTAGTATTTACGTGTCACAAGAACGCGGATGTTTTCAAAAATCTTTAGCGAAAGAGTCTTTCAAGACATCCGCGGTTGTTTAGTGAAAGAGTGAAGCAGAATTAAGTGTTGAACAGTGTCGTGTTGCTCCGTCAACTACATAAAAGTAAGAACACCTGTCGTCGGTGAAACGCCCCTCCTTACTGCAGAACGTCTCTCATTATATGTGTTATAATGTTTTTTAACGGACGTTGTCTGATTATATAATCATATGCGCGGGCCGCAAGTGTCTGTTGATCTCCAGATTAACAGCAGCATGAGAATAACCTGCCGAAAGTGCCGATGCTCCATAGCGGAGGCTCCGGTAGAAATACAAGGCTGGTGTGAATGCGACCTAAGAATGGTCGTCACCATTTTTCTCAGTGAATATATTTCGAAAGGTGTTATTGACATGACATTTTCAACAGATGTTGGTAACAACACATGCAATCCACACATGCAAAGACATCTAACCGAAGAGGTCCATAAATTAAGTTATGTGTAATAAAATGGAATGACACAGAGAAAAAGTATTGAACACATGATGTTAGAGCCAGTATTTTGTTTTTATAAGAAAGGCCACCTAATCGTGACGTCTGTAGTCAACAGAGTATAAAAGACTACAATTCCCACGACGCCTCCTAAGGTGACAGTGATGGGCACCCTGCTAGAAAGATGCCGTCGAGGAACAGTTTTTAACCGTTCAAATACCCTTTAAATTACCATTAAAGTTATACAAGCCTTAATAGAAAGAACGAATACCTAAGTTGTTTATTATTTTATTTGAGTTTTGCCTCTTTTGTTCGATTTGTTTTGACTATTGTGAAGGCCTGTTTTCTTTGTTTCCTGTGTGAAAAGTTTATTTTATTTTGAGCAAACCCATTGCACAACCATCGGAGGCCAAGCAACTCATCAACTGTGAGTAACACAAATATAAAGGAAAGAAAACAAGTTAGAAATGTCTGTTTAGGGCGTCTATTGGCTTGATAGAAAATAAGGAAGGAAACCACGACACATGAAGAAGGGAGGTGCAAAAAGCATGGAAAGCCAAGACACCAGCTGAAATCTATCAGTAATTAGAAAGCAATCCTGCCCCAGGTCAGTGCAAATTAATATCAGCTGGTTCAGTCCCATATTATGGCCTACAAAAAGGTGTCTTATTACCAAGGGGTCACACACACGTAGAGGCAGAGAGT